TTCCCAACGTCCCTAGCAGTAAGTACCATACCGCAGAAGAAAAGGCGTGGTGGTCTGCTCTGTGAAGGTCACCGTCAGTATAACACCGTGAAAGTGCTCCTGAGCCAGGGCCAGCAAAACGCCAACCAACGATGACAACGTTCCATATGCCCGCTCGAGCTCTAGTGATGAAGGGACCCTGAGAAAGGAATGCAGGGCAGCAGATGCCTATGTGCCTATGGGGCATTCCAGGCAAGTGGGAAGGAGTGGGGCCCAGACACGGGGAGTGTGCGGGAAGCATGCCGGGCAGTGAGGATGCAGCCAGCACCAGTGAACGAGGGAGCGAGGGAAGAGCTGAAGGACCCCAGGTCCCTGGCCCAAAGGGTCAGGGCCATCCTGCCACTCAGGCACTGTCATCTGTTGGAAACACAGGACGTGATGGTCCTTGCTTTTGCTGCTGGGGGTATTTTCTCTCCGTGTTTATTTGTTTACTTCCCCCCCCCTTCTTCCTGCTGGCCATTCGGACTTTCCCAGGGGACCCAACGGAATGTTCCTTCCTAGTCTGGGTTCTGCATGAACCAACACCAAGATGGTCTCAAGCAGATGCCCATCTGATGTCCCAGCCTGACTGACAGCGTAGAGGCTGAGTGTGCAAATGTGCAAAGGCTTTGAGAGTAGGGCAGGGGACTCATACACATGCACACACCTTGGTCTGACCTCAGGAAAATGACTATGGGGTGGGGCAGAGGGGTGGGGAGGCAAAGGGTGGCCAGGTTTCAGGCAGAACAGAACCTCATGGGTGACCTATAAAGTAGGGCCACCTCCCTTGCTCTGACTGAGGCTGAAGACGCTGCCCGATCCAGCCTCTTGGAGTGTGGTAGGACCTCACAGTGACTGCTGTGGGTTGTACTGGAAGGAAGAGGCACATGAGAGAGTGAGGGTGTCTTCATGAATATAAGAACAGACACTCGGGCAGAGTCATGCCCATGGTATTTGTTTGAGTGGGTACCAGCCCTCACACGGCTCTCCTGCTAATTGTGTGCGTTATCTGGAATTCACTTCTAGAAAGACTGGAAAAGAAGTCAAGGCATCCTGGATTTCATATCATCTGTACCTGAAGCACCAACACTGCCCTCTCGCAGTGCCCCACTGGCCGAAATGCAGTGAATCTGAAACACGTGTCCAGAGGATGGCTTCAGAAGCTTCAGGCATGCCAAGGAGGTCACCTCCCTCACGCCAACAGCTGCCAAGGGCACACTCTTAGTGGACGAGGTCAGAGCTGCTCTGTGGGTCATGTGGACACCTGGCACAGTGAACCAAATCTCCCGGCCACATGGCAGTCAGCGTTGTGGCTGGTGCCCGCTCTGCAGCTGGCCCCGGACAAGAGTCCAACCCCACATGTCAGCATCTTCATTTCCCAGGTGCAATCAGACAGCCAAGGCCAACGTGCCCATGCCCAGCTGATAAGTGGTAGAGTACGGTTAGGATTCAAACTCAGCCTTGTTCTTCCACCCCCCTAACGCCCCCACCTGGGACTGCCGGCTGAGATGGATGAGAAGGAGAGATGGGCCCCAGCCACAGAACCTACTGACTCTGGGTCAGGAGTTAGTGTGTGACATGGTGCCTCAGCAAGCTTGTGCCTTCCTAGTGTTGGCACGTAGGTGGGTCGGTTAGAGAAGTCAGCTCCTCACAGGCAGGCAGGGCCTGCACATCAGCGTCCTGGGAGCCCCAGGTCTGAACGCAGGGCTTAGAAGACTCCACCTGTGCGTTTGTTGGAGGAAGAAACGGCAGAGGGACAAGGGAGGTTCTCTAGAGGCGAGCAAAACTGGGAAGGTGGTTGAGCGCCTGCCCCTGCAGCGTTTCCTGCAGCGAGAGAATGGCTGCAGGCCTGAAAGCGCTCATGAGCCCAGGCCGCTTGGTGGTGTATGCCTTCCAAAGTTCCCTCTCAACCTTCCCAAGGCTGCGACACTTTCACACAGGTCCTCATGCCCCTTCCATACAGGTCCTCAGGCTGTGGTGAGCCCCAACTATACAATTATTTTCGTTGCTACTTCATCACTGTCATTTTGCTACTGTTAGGAATTGGGCGACCCCTGCGAAAGGGTCATTGAACCCCCAAAGGGGTCGCGACCCACAGGTTGAGAAACTCTGCTCTAGTGAGTGCTCTCCCCAGCTGGGCCACCCTGTGCAGGCCCAGGGCTCTGCAGCTGCTCTGGGGACAAAGAGAGCATGGAGGGTGATGCTGGCCTCCAGCAGGGCTATGGGCACCGCCCCACACACAGGGCATGTGCCTGCTTCCCATCCCCTTGATGGCCTGTAATGTCACACCCAGCTCAGCCATGTCTACCGCAGCAGTGGGCAAGGGAGCCAGAATTGGGAAGGATGTCAGATTTGGACCCTGGAGGTGATCGTGTCCCTGCCCCAGTGCCTGCTCTAACCCCCCAGTGACACTCCATTCATTGGCTCTGGACCTCAGGACTTGGGGGGTCCTTGATGATCTCGGCAAGGGGGCTTCAAAGAACCCCCGGGGTGTGTGTGTGTGTGTGTGTGGGAATCCCATGATCTTTTCATTCCCTCTCAAAACATATTCGAAGCCCCCAGCACAACTTCTTCAGCGACTCCCTCCCTCATCTCTTCAACCCCCAGCCAGCCCAGTCCCCCAACTTTCCCACTCCCTTCTTCTGGGGAACCGCTTGGGCAGGAAGGCATGGCCCAAGCCAGGTCTGTGGAGACGGCCCCCTGGCCAGGCCTGGATTACACCTGCCGGATGACCCGGCATGCCCGCTCCTACACACAGAGGCGGGGGGGGAGGGGGGGGAGAGAGACGGTGTGCCTGTGAAACGCTGGAATCTTCTCACCTCTTAGGGACACTGGCAGTCTCGGTCTGGCTTTGCCACCTTCCCTTCTCTGCCCCCCAGGAGGGCTGGGGACCTTGTTGGCGCCACTCCCCAGCACACCTCCCTCAAGCCGCACCAGATGGATTTCCCTCTTCTCCCTCCAGTGTGTGCACCGGCGGGCTTGGCCCGGGCCTTGCTCACCGGGAGGCCCCCAGTTGCTACAAAGCAACAAAGCCCCACCACGCGCGCCGGCAGGACCCCCACCATCGCTGACCTTGTCTCAGCGGCAGCTGCGGGTGACGTCTCCCAGGCCAGGGGGTGGGCAGGGCCTTTGCTCAGCCCAGGTCAGCAGCCACCTGCTCACCCCAAACCAGGTGCTTGACCTAGAGGGTTTGGAAATGCAGCGCGGGCCCACCTGTGACAGGCGGAGAGGGTGCGGGCTCAGAGGAAGGGCCCGGAAACCTGAAGGCACCCCCACCCACCGGACTGAGGGCCCTCGGCCCCGCCCTCCTCCCCGCGGGCCCTGCCGCCCCCCTCTGCCCTCCCCTCGGTGCCCCGACGCAGCCCGCCTGGAAGTTTCCTCCAACCACTGCTGCAGCGACTCCCCTGTCTCGGCTGAGCCCGCTGGGACCGGGGTCCGGGCCGCTGAGATGCAGCCGCTG